GAGCTGTTTCCTTAATTTTCTTGGTTGTTTTTTCTTGGTGCTCTTTAGATTCTTTGAGAGATTTGTTTATTTCTTGAATTTTTCCCCCATTTCATGGATTTTTTTGTTTGTTTTTTCTTCTATTTCTTTAAGGGATTTCCTTGTTTCTTCTTTGAGGGTCTCCATCATCTTCATGAAATAATTTTTAAGGTCTGTCTCCTCTTCTTCATCTATGTAGTGCTTTTCGGGTCTTGCTGGTGTTGGATCCCTGGATTCTGGTGGGGTCATGTTGGTGTTTCTATTGCTGAGTGATCTCTTATTCTGTCTTCTTCCCATCTCTTCTTCCAGTGGGTGCTGGTGGGGTCTTTCCGTCTCCACTGGTCTCCTTCCTTACTGCAGCTGATGCTGGGGATGCTGAAACTGGACTCGCTGGGCTTGGGGTCTTGGAGGGGCTGATCTCTTTCCTGAAGCTGGAGTCCCTGGGGTTGGGGTCTTGGAGGGGCTGATGTCTTTCCTGTGTGGGCGGCTCTTCTGGAAGCCGGGAGCGGCCCCGAAGATGGAGGGGGATGGGTGATGGGCCCGCGGTCCCCACTGGAGACCCAATCTCACCTGAAGCTGGGCTCCTTGGGGTTGGGGTCTTGGAGGGGCTGATCTCTTTCCTGTGTGGGCGGCTCTTCTGGATGCCGGGAGCAGCCCAGAAGATCGCGGGGGATGGGTGATGGGTGGGCGGTCCTCCCTGCCTGAGACCCAATCTCACCTGAAGCTGGACTCCCTGGGGTTGGGGTCTTGGAGGGCCTGATCTCTTTCCTGTGTGGACGGCTCTTCTGGAAGCCGGGAGCGGCCCCGAAGATGGAGGGGGATGGGTGATGGGCGGGCGGTCCCAGCTGGAGACCCAATCTCACCTGAAGCTGGGCTCGCTGGGTTGGGGTCTTGGAGGGGCTGATCTCTTTCCTGTGTGGGCGGGTCTTCTGGAAGCCGGGAGTGGCTCCAAAGATGGAGGGGGATGGGTGATGGGCGGGCGGTCCCTACTGGAGACCCAATCTCACCTGAAGCTCTCTTAGAACATTTTCAATGTCATGTACCTATGAAAACAGGATGGAGATGCTTTGGAAACATCTCATCACACTATCAAGATCTTGTCATAGAAGTCCCTTTAGATAAACTTGAAATGTCTCATTATGACTGTTCAGTTACTTTAAAGAAATCTTATACCTGTTGAAAAGGTAGCAGCAGCATTTGATGAGTAACTAGCTATCTAGTTTCTATTCTTTAATCTGAAAAGCAGTTTCTGGGGATGGTTGCACACTTGGTAAATGGCAAGGTTAGTACCAAAAAGCAACACTTCTCAGCTATTTCTATATCTCACCACATAAACCTAACCTTCTAGTCAACGTAGATCACCTTCTGCTTACTTTTTCCTAATACCCTAATATGAAACTTAAGAAAAGCTAAGTGAGTGGAGAAATATCCACCTTTGTTACAAAATGAAGAAGTAGATGCTAGACTCCAGCAATGGATTTAATAGTGTTGTCTAAAAGTCCAGAATCCCAGAGCATGAACTTATTTGAAATTAGATATTTGCAGATGCATGTAATCAAGTATATCAAGATGGATTCTAGTACTGGCAGGAGCCTAATATCAACTGACTGGTTTCCTGTATGTGTAGAAGACACACAACCCAAGGAAGAATACCATGTGAGGACTGCTTGCAGCATCAGAAGCCATCATGAAAATTCTCTTAGAGACAGAGTGAGAACATAGCCCTGCTGATTCCTTGTTCTCAAATTTCTTGTTTTTAGAACTGGAAACAATATATTTCTGGTTATATTGATGCCATAAGTTATGTGGGAACTGGTTAAAATAAACTCATCAAACTTCTCCAGGCTTTTCATAGAGCAAATGGGAAAGTCTGTCTTCTTACTCAAAGGAAGGTTGGTGACAGAAATTCTCCAGAGGAGGAGGCCTTTGCCCTAAAGAAAGAACTGCCTTCATGTTTAATCTGTGATCTCGTGTCCATCTCAGTGAGACCCAGGAGGAGGAGTTTATTTTAGGAGGCACCACAGATTTGGGACCCATTCATTTCTTTAGCCCTAGGTCCAGCATCGCTTCACAGCTGCTGAATGAACACCTCATTGGGGCTAAAACCACAGTCAGTTATCAGCAATTCATGTGACCTTGGGCTCATCGGTTAATCTTTTTACCAAGGACACAATATTTCCTCCCTATCTTGTGTATTTACATGATATCTTGGATGTGGGACATGCTTCATAGTGTTGACACAGAGTAACATCAAGATTAGTGGGACCTACTGACTTCTTTCCCGTGTTTACTTCTTACCTGGACCCCTGAGTTTAGCCCATTTCCCATTCTCTCTCTCTCTCTCTCTCTCTCTCTCTCTCTCTCTCTCTCTCTCTTCTCCTTTCTCTGTCTCTCTCTCTCCTCCCTCCACCCCCTCCCCACATGTGTGTATGCATGCACATATGGAAGCCAGAGGGCTTCCTGAATTACTATGTTATTTTTTTGAGACAAAGTCTCACTGAACCTAGAGTTCACTGACCTGAGTTCGTTTCCTATCTTCACCTGTCAAGTACTAGAACTCTAGATGGGTATCACTAAATCTAGATATTTTTATGTGGTTTCTTGGGCCTGAACTCAAACCCTCATGCTTGCACAGTTAGCACTTTGCTAGCATCCCTTTCAACAACCTCCTTGGTTGTAATTTACATATGGTTGAAAGTCACATCTATTTAGGTCTCTGGTGTATCTGTGGTACCTGGCAATATAGGGTTCAGTGAGTGCTGTTTCCTTGCTCCTGGCCTGAGGTCTTCTATTTAGTTTATAATTTCTGTAAGAACATTTTTGGAGCTAGGCAAGAATACACGTTCAGTGAGTATCGTTTTGATTGCATTTTTATGAGAGTGGGTGAGAATAAGAGAAAAGGCCGTGGGGTCTGAAATGGGAAGTGTTTGAGATTAATTCACTGGGAGTCTTTTAATTTTCAAGGATTGCTTGTTCTTGAAAGCTGAGTACTTCATTATCTTTTTAGCTTGTACAATTACAGATTTATGAGAGTCTGTTTCCAGTACTATGTTCAGGGTCATTGATGCTAAAGAAATTGTGGTGCACAGGCCATTTTCTCCTTGGAGAGACAGATTAAAAGGTCAGTGCTTTTAAAGTCAGTAAAATATCACTTTCACCTACATGTTTAAAAATAGTGTTGGGAACAAATGTGTGTGGATACTGAGCATTGGGGTGCATACCACTTCTGGAACCTGGGGAATCTAGCTTCCCATTTCTTATAGTATTTCACCATATTCACACATTGGTGTATCCTACTGGGACATGAGTTTCTGTTCTCCTGATTCATCTCTCTGGCTGCTATAGAACTTGGCAACAGAGTGTAAGCGGCTGACTCTTGACAAAACTTGTTGAGATGGAAGGTTTCCTTGAGGCTGGCTGACAGATCTGGTTATACTGAATATTCCCAAGATGGTATTAATTGGATCTGGTCTCACCAATATATTCTCACTTTAAAAGTGATAACATATTAGCAAACAGCTACAGAGATCTTTATAACAGAAAGACATAATACTAAGTATCGATACATTTCCATTTAATACTCCTCATTACCCATGGAATTAGATATCATCACTCTTATCAGAACTGGAATAGGAGGAAATTTTCTTCTTTTTGCTTCCTCTTTGATCACGTGGCTCTTTTAAGATGTTCTCACTGAAAGTTAAGCACATTTGCTGTTGTCGATCTTTAGAGTTTTCTCTTCAGCCCTATGATCCCTAGGACTGTAGCTGGTTTGAGCCAGAGCATGACAGTAACACCCTGATTTAAATTCTGCTGGGCTAGATGAAAGACACCAGTACAGATATATATAGAAACTCTTGGCTCCACTGGGAAGTCAGTGGGTCAGTTCTGATGCCTGAGAAAGTGCCAGTGAGTTGTTCTGGTGATTTAGTGTTAAGAGATCAGAACTTAAGGTGAAAAAAAGAACTGACATTTTGTCAAGCCAGACAGGAAGTGACAGCAAACTTTAAATTAATTAATTTCTCTGACCATGAGTTTCCTCAAAAATAAAAATGTAATGAATGGGTGCTGGAGCGATGGCTCAACAATTAAGACACTTGCTGCTCTTGCAGAGGACAAGAGTTCAGTTCCCATCACTCATATCAAGTCACAGCTATAGTTTCAGGGAATCTGACTTGTCTTCTGGTCTCTGCAGAATCATACACACACACACACGCACACACACACACACACACACACACACACTAAATATTTATAAAGACTAATAGAGAAACAGTATGCACCTCATAACTGGAAGGTGGATAATGATAGCAACACCTTGCTCAGCAGTTCCATGTCCCAGGGATGTGTACCAAAGTTCACAGTGGATGCCTGATGACATGGGGAGTATTAAGTCCTATCTACACTAAGTTTTCTGTCCTACACTTTAAATATGCAGATCTAACGTCCTTTTCATTTTAACTAAGCACTAATCATTTACTATTTCCCAGTCTTTTGCTGTTTGAGATGTGAAAGCAAAGCTGCTGTGTATTTCCTTTTGTGTATGATTTTAGATAGGTGATTCATTCTTGGGTTGCCATAGCAGTGATGATAATGACAAAAATGGCAACAGCATAGATGCTATTGATGACATGGGCTATAATCCCAATAAAGAAGACAGAATTACTGGTTGTGGCTTGCTTGCCAACACTGAGACTGTCTCCTCTTTTGTTAATTCAATGATATTTTATGTGCTTTTAAAATTCTTTTCTTTGGTCATTGTTGTGTCTGTCCCTGTTTCCTAAGGACAAATACTGTTTTACTTCTAGATCCTTTCACTTTACTTGTTAATGTATTCAGCATGTCTTCTATAAATACATCCAATGTTTAGATATTGTCCTGAGTATTAGCACTCAATTGGGCATTACTAAGCACACAGCAACTTTTAAAATAAATGTCATATTAAACTGTAAGAAATTAATCCTTACCATAGATCTTAGCAACTTCAGCAATGAAAGTTCTTTGTTCCGTAAGAATGCTCATCATTTTACTTCCAGAAAACACTGCATCATTTCTCTTTGATGCATTCCAGTTATCAGAAACAATACACTGCAGCCAATATTACATAAAACAAGAACTGATTGAACATAGAAACTCTGACATCACAATTGTAGATAACTTGAATTTATAGTTCTGCTCTCATCTGGGCAATCTTGAAATGGCTGTCCTCACTTTTCCAAGCCTGTATTTTCATGGAAGACTCCCAGTCAGAACCCAGGAAACACTACCTCAAAGAGTGGTTTCTTCACCCACTGACGTCAGATGGTTTTGGGCTTGCTGAGGGTCACTTCCAACCCTTCAGTACTCTTGTCTGTTGTTAACAGGATCATACTGTCCACATGATACTTATAGATTATGAGATACAGATGTCAGTATTTTATCATCTTGAACAGCCAACCAGTCCTGTGGCCCACTCCATGGATCTAATGGTTTAGCATATGCCAGACAAAATATATCTGTTAAGAAATAATTAATTTGTACTCATACCTTGTAAAACTAAAGGCATTCCACAAACAGATGTTCAGACAAGCATGAATTATTCAGTTGTTCTACACTGAATGAACACGGTCTGAGTTGTAAATTAAAATAAAAAGAAATTTTAAAAAAGATTATGATGGAGATGGCTCAGTCAGTAAAGCGCTCGCCACACAAGCATGAGAACCCAGGTTGGATCCCAAGAACCTGCACAAAATGGCTGGGTACCACAGTACACATCTGAAAACCCCAGTCCTGGACAGGAAGAGACAAAAGAACCCCCAGAGCTTGCCTAGTCTAGGGTGAGAGGCCCCTTCTCAAAAACAGCAAGGAGGATGACTCCTGAGGAACTCTATCTGAAGCTGACCTCTGCTTTCTGTTGGTGCATTCACATACCACATGTGTTCAAACGAACCTGTCTGCATACATATGCACATGTAATACATATTTACATACACACAGAAAATGAAAATGAAAACTTGACAGTTCATTTGGTTGGGTGAAAGGTATGCTTTAAATGAGCCCACCAGACCCAGGATATAAATAATAAATAGGTATGTATTAGGGAAGCACTTACACAGATTAGAGTAAATAACCACCAAAGTCTTCCTGCTCCAGAAGATGTAGTCTCTACCCATCTGATGTTCTCTAGCCAGCCACTCCTCTACCTTACAATGGGTCATGTCTATATCTGAAACTATGCCCAAAGGGTGTGGCTACCACTACAAGTTCACAAGCAAGGCAAGATGCCACTACAATTCCCCTTTTGCCTAAAGAAGAGGGTTTTAAGCTTGATACAAAACTATATACAATGATAACAAATATCAAGTATATTCCAGGAGAAGGAAAGATAACAATATACACAAATTAATCTATTGAGCCTTGGGCAGCAGATCAGTACCCATCCCGAGTATACACACGGACTTTGGACTCCCATCCAACAATGTGAGGTGCACTCTCACCCTGAACTCTTCGGGAAGGGTCTAGGCCCTGCCCTATATGAAATGACAGACTATGGACAACCCCAGGGAGGGTGAGGCCCTCCATGGGGAAATGGGGGGAGGGCACGGGAGGAGGGGAGGGAAAGGGAGAGGGACCTGGAACTGACTTGTGAAGCAACCTTGTTTCTTATCTAAATTTAAACTGAAAAAAAAAAAAAAGACCTATGACCGGCAAAGGGTAACACTGAACAATAGACACATTCTACATGTCCAATCCCAGGGTAATGATATATAACAGAGATTACTCTGATTGCTGTCCTAATCTGGAAAGTTTAAGTCTTGTACCTAGTATTTTTTTATATAAGAGTGAATATTAACTGTGACTATCTAGTCTTCAACTTCGTCAAAGACATGAGAATGAAAATAACATTAATAGGGTAAGCAGGATGTATAAGTGTGTGACTCCCTAAGGTGCAAGCAAAGACAGAAACAGCAGGCTGTCCGGACAGTCACCCAAGGTCTCACAGTAACATAAGGGCAACCAACTTTCGCTAAGGCCTAGTGTATCTGACAGAGCATCTCAGAAGCAGGAAAACTGAAACACTGTCTTACCCCGACTTGTCTAGGTTCAGCAGTCTCTTTTCTTTAAGTTTATCTCCTGATAGTCCAGTTGTTACAGCATCTCCAAAGTCAGCAGTCAAGGTAGAGGCAGTTCTTTGTCCAAATGGCCAGTAGCCTAGAAGAAAACAAACTCCAAATGGAGTGTCATTGGTGCCCATCATATTCTTGGAAATAGCTGGGTGCTGTCAGGAGAAATTGTGTCTTGTGTCAACAGAGTTCTAAATTATTAAACATTTAAATGCCATATTCTGTAGGTTCTGGAAGTGTTTGAAGACCAAGTATCTATATTGGGTACATCTCTGAACACATATAGAACCTGTCTAACATCATTAGGTATAAGAGGCATGGGTAACTATAATCTGTATTTCTCAGAAATGTAATTCCTCAGTGACTGAAGCTTCCCAAATATAATTTTAAACTGATGTGCAGCATAAGAAGAATGACCTCAAATTTGTAACTAAGTACATATATGTGTATATATGTATATATATATATATATATATATGCAAATCTCTATATCAGAGGTAGAACTGAAATATCTTGACCAGAGGTAGAACTGTATAGACAGTAAAAAGAGCCTACCCAGCATAACAAATATGATTTCAGGTTTGAAACAATGTACAAATTATCCAAGACGGGAATACAAAATTAATTTTTTATAAGAATCTATAACAATGTAAGTTGTCTATAACTAATAGTTGCTAAAACAGTTCACAAGAAGATATACTAATCTACATGTATCATATCCCATTCATACCCTTTAAAATTTTCTAAAAGAAATTCCTGAGTCTGAACATCATTTTCAATTCCCAACCATACACAATTTAACAAACCCTTAGCAGGTGATAATTATCCATTTTCTAGGGAAAAACCCAATAGACCATTTAAGCCAACTATAGGGAAAGGGGCATTAATTTCTTAGAACTACACCCAGCTGTCATGGGGCAGAGGATCCTATAGGAAAAAAAATTAAAGCAATAGTTAAGTCTCAAGAGGACTAACTGTCACATTTGTAGCTGGTCTCTGAGTAGCAGGTGATACTTGCCTGAAGTTATTATCTGAAGCTCTGGCAGGGTGTTATAGGAAGGTACACTATCTCATCTAGCTAATCTGGAATTGTCTAGACCAGTACTGTCCCAAGCCAATCCTAGAGTGGTGTCTACTAGTTGAACGACATCAAGTGAAATCAGTGTTATAGGGCCCCATCTTCTTTCTAGAGACTTCAAAGACTGTTGTTAGGAAATTTTGTTGTTCACTGTGGAAGATTTAAACATTAATATCAACACAGAGAGTGAATTTTATATGTATGCATACTGGGACTGGTATCAATAAGGATGAAAATAAGTATGAGGAATATTAGGATTTTTTGAGAGAACAGAGTTTTGACAATAATAGTCCCTAGATTTTTGTTTTCTTATGTCTTGCACCAGTTGGCTCTTTTGATATGGAGCAGAATCTCTGAATTTTTCTTTTAACAACATGTTTGGATTTAGAGAAGGAGAACCACAGTCAGAAATTTAAAGCCAGCTTTGATTTTTTTTTACAGGAATTGGAACTACTAATGTACTGAGAAGTAAAGAGATATAGGTGTTTAGGTAGAGAGATTTTACCCTGTTAGATTTTACCATAAGTTAGATTCTTCTTTGTTTGATGATTCTTTCTGGATAGCTATCCTGTTTTCCTTAGGCATCTACACATCTGATGTCTTTTGGCTTCTTTAAGATGGGCATTTTCTGTTTTCCTGTAAAGACAAGAAAAAAAAACCCTGCCCCAAACTTTGTGAGGTTTCCTTACAACTTGTGGGATTTACCTTGGTGGATGACCTATCATTTCTCCTCTTCAAGAGGTTTCTCATGTTCAAATAGGATCTTGAATAACTTTGATGGTATCCATAGCTTTACTTCTCCTGTAGAAACAAGGCAAAACTGACTTCCTCCTGTTTTCCATTCTGAAGTCAACACATCCTTGAAGTACACTGACTGATTTATCTCAGAAGTTTTTCCTATTGTCCTTTCTGCAGCTAGTTTTGCTATCTCATTAGCATTAAGAAAGTTTAAGATTAGACAGCATTATGTAATCTGTTGTGTGGGGAGGGGTCTTGATTTCCCCTGCCTGTTTATAGAACATTTCCTTTAAGGTGAGATTAGATCTCCTAACAACTGTTTGTCCTAGCCGGGCGTTGGTGGCGCACGCCTTTAATCCCAGCACTCAGGAGGCAGAGGCAGGCGGATATCTATGAGTTCGAGACCAGCCTGGTCTACAGAGCAAGTTCCAGGACAGCCTCCAAAACAATACAGAGAAACCCTGTCTCGAAAAACCAAAAGCAAGCAAACAAACAAAAAACAAAACAAAAAATAACAGCAACTGTTTGTCCCTTAGAATTGTATGGTATACCTGTAATGTGCTTTATTTTATAATATTTAAAAAACTGTTTTAATTTCCTGAAGACATATGTTGGTGCACTGTCAGCTTTCATTCATGCTGATATACCCACAGTAGTCATTGCTTACAAAAGGTTTGTAATAACAGAATCAGCCTTTTCAGTGCTCAGAGCAGTTGCCCATTTAAGTCCTGAAAATGTGTCTATTGCATGGTGTACATATTTTAATTTTCCAAATTATGCAAAGTGAAACCCATCCATTTGCCAAATTTCATTTCTATGTATCTTTAGGATTACTATCTGCTAGTAAAAGGAGTTTGGTTATAGAAGGAAAAAGTAGGACATTCTTTTACTATTTCCTTAGCTTGTTGCCAAGTGATGGAAAAATCCTTTTTTTTTTTTGAAAAATCCTTTTTTTAACCTTTGCTATTCACATGGTATTTTTAAATGAAATTTTGAGGCCTTGAGCACACTTTCTATTAATAATAGATCAACTTCTTCATTACCTTGTGCTAGAGGACATGGCAAACCTGTATGGGAACTGATGTGAGATATATATGTGTATATATATCATGAGTTCCAATAAATAATGAAGTTAATTCTGTATCATCAGAAATAAATTCAGCAGTTTCAATGCTTCAATGTGTAAGACAACTCTCTGCATATTGAGAGTAAGTAACTATATTGAGAAGTTTTGTAAAATCCATAAGTACCATGAGGATAGCATATAATTATGCCTTTTGCACAGAGTTATAAGGACTTTGAACCACTTTACTTATATTTCTGATTTATATCCTGCCTTAGGTTATCTGTTTGCCTCAGGGTAGAATGTAGAGACTCCAGAGATTAGTGTTTTCCTTACTGTGCATGGAAGAATCCAAATGGTTTTCTTTATTAATTTTATTCTAATATTTTTGGGATAGTTGCTGCAAATCTTTCCCATATAAGCTCTTTGCGAATATTCATATTTTTTAATAAGGAGAAAATTTGCCCATTAGTTAAAGGTGCTATAATTCCTGTTGGGTTCATTCCTGTCCATTGACAAAGTCTTAACTTTCCTTTTAAAATCAAATTAGAAATGTTTTCTATATATGTTTTTATTCTGTTTATGTGGTAGAAATATCCATTCTAATATGGTATCTTCTCTCTGTACCAAAATCCCTGAAATGTACCATCCCTAGATGGTAACATAGCCAGAATGTAATTGAGCTTGGGATCCACATGGTCCACATATACTTTTTGTAGTTTTTCTACCCATTCCAATTCTTTTTCAGCTTCAGTTGACAATATTCTTGGACCGTTTATGTCCTTGTCACCTTTTAGGGCCTTTTTCAAATTTTTTAGATAATGTCCTTCTATTCTGGTAATAGTCTATAGTTGGAAAATCTCTCCTAGAAATTTTTGAAGATCATTAAGAGTCTGATACTGATCTCTTATGATCTGTACTTTTTGTTGTCTAATTATCTATAGACCTATTTTATATCCTACATAATTAATAGAATCTCCTGTTTGTATTTTTAAATGAGCTCACTAGGCACAAGATAAATGATAAATAGGTATTTATTAGGGAAGCGCTTACACAGATTGGAGTAAATAACCACTACGGTCTTCCGGCTTCAGAAGATGCAGTCTCTGCCCTTCTGATGTTCTCTGAAACCCAAAAGAGGTCGAGCCAGCACCTCCTCTATAATGAGTCATATCTGTACCTGAAACCATGCCCAAAGGGTGTGACAAGCACCAAAAGTTCACTGGCAAGGCAATATGTCACTACAGGGCTCCACCCATGGGTCCAGATAAACCAGAGCCCATTTCCAGGCCACCTGATGGTGCTTGGGGACTGCCACTGCATCTTCCATTCCAGAGGTGGGAACCAAAGCACCTTAGTCTCCTGCTCCACCCATGGGACCAGGCCAGCTGCCTGTGCTTGGGGTCTAGCACTGCATCTTCCATCCCAGCAGTGGGAACCAGTGCATCCAAGTCTCCTGCTCCACCCATGGGACCAGGTAAATCAGGATCCATTTCCAGGCCACCTGCCTGTGCCTGGGTGCTACCACTGCAGCTTCCATCCTGGAGGTGGCAGGAGCCAAGGTACCCTAGTTTCTTGCTTCCCCACCGGACTAGGACTAGACCCACTGCCTGTGCTTGGTGTATACCACTGCATCTTCCATCTGAGTGGCTGGAGCCAATGCTCCCCAGACTCCTGCTCCACCCACAGGTCCAGGTAAACAAGGGCCCATTTCTGGGTCACCTCCCAGTGCTTGGGGACTGCCACTATGGCTTCCATTACAATAGAAGGAGACAACCCACCCAAGCATCCTAGTCTCCTGCTCCACCCATGTGACTAAGACTACCAGGGCCTGTCTCCAGGCCACACTCCTGTGCCTGTGGTCTACCACTGGGGCTCCCATCCATCCCTGTGGTATCCAAAGCACCCCAGCATCCTAGTCCATTTCTCCATCCATGAGGCCAGGAAGTGGAGAGCCCATGGCCAGTGACAGAGAGGGAGGAGTGATGAGCAAAGGGGCTAAGACTGGGCTGGTTTAACCCCCCAGAAACAGCTGACCTGACAAGGGTTAGCTCTTGAATCCCAGACTAATGCCTGGGAATCCAGCATGGGACTGATCAAGACCCCCTGAATATGAGTGTCAGTGAGGAGGCCTAGGTAATCTATTGAGCCTTGGGTAGTAGATCAGTATTTACCCCTGGCATACAAATGGACTTTGGGTGCCCATCCAACAATGAGAGGTGCACTCTCACCCTGGACTCTCAGGGGAGGGTCTAGGCCCTGCCCCGGATGAAATGACAGACTATGGACACCCCCATGGTAGGCCTCACCCTCCCTGGGGAAATGAGGGGATATTGGAGGGGTTGGTGGGAGGGCATGGGAGGAGGGGAGGGAAAGGAAGAGGGACCTGGAATTGACATGTGAAGCAACCTTGTATCTAAATTTAAATTTAAAAATAAAAAAGAGACCACAGATGCCAGCCAAAACTGCTATACCCAGCAAAGCTTTCAATCAATATAGATGGAGAAAACAAGATATTTAATGAAAAAAAACAGATTTAAATAATACATATCCACTATCCCAGCCCTACAGAAAATTCTGGAAGGAAAACTCCAACCCAAGGAAATTAACTACAACCAAAAAACATATGCAATAGAAAATTCCACTTTACCACCAGGCAAAAGAAAAGTGGTGGAAATCCATATACAATTCCAACAACAACAACCATTCCAAAACAAACAAGAATGAACTATCAATGGTCATTAATTTCCCTCAATATTAATGGTCATAGCTTTCTCATAAAAAGACACAGGTTAACAGAATGGAATCAAAGACAGAATCCATCCTTCAGCTGCATACAAGAAACACATCTCAGCTTCAAAGACATATGTTATTTGAGAGTTAAGGGTTGGGAAAATATTTTTCAATCAAATGGACTCAAGAAACAAGCAGGGGTAGCAATCCTAATGTCTAACAAATTAGACTTTAAACCAAATTCAATCAAAAGAGATGAGGGAGGTCACTTCATACTCATCACAGGAGAAATCAACCAAGATGAAGTCTCAATTCTGAACATCTGTGCTCCAAATACAAACCCATCCACGTTTGCAAAAGATACATTACTAAAACCCAAAGCACATATAAAACCTCCCAGTTGAGTGGGAGACTTCAACACCCTGCTGTCACCACTAGACAGGACCACAAGACATAAACTCAACAAGGATAAAAAGGACCTAATAGAAGTTATGACCCAATTGGGTTTAACAGACATCTATAGAACACTCCATTCAAACACAAAAGAATATACCTTCTTCTCAGCTACACCTGGAACCTTCTCAAAAATAGACCCCATGCTTGGTAACATAGCAAACCTCAACAGCTACAAAAAAATTGGAATAACTCCATGTATCTTATCATACCACTATGCCTTAAAGTTAGAAAACCTGCAAACTCATGGAAATTGAATAATGCTCCACTTCTGGGTCAAGGAAGAAATAAAAAAGGAATTAAAGACTTCCTAGGATTCAATGAGAATGAAGACACAACATACCCAAACTTATGGGACACTTTGAAAGCAGTGCTACAAGGGAAGTTCATAGCAATAAGTGTCCACATGAAGAAACTGGAGAATAGTGAAACTAGAGAATTAACAGCACAGCTGAAAGCTTTAGAACAAAGGGAAGCATACTCAGTCCAGAGGAGCAGACACCAGGAAATAATTAAATTGAAGGCTGAAATCAATAAAGTAGAAACTAGGAAAACCACACAAAGAATCAATGTAGCAAAGGGTTGGTTCTTTGAGAAAATCAACAAGATAATCAAAACTTAATCCATACTTACCAAATGGCACACTACGAACGTGCAAATTAACAAAATCAGAACTTAAAAGGGAGACATAACAACGGAGAGTAAGGAAATCCAGAGCATCATCAGGTCATATTTTGAAAAGATATACTCCACAAAATTTGAAAATTTAAAGGAAATGGACAG